TTTTTTTTATGCTCGTTGTCTGGGCTTTTACATCAATTTATTATTATGTAAAGAATTAATTTTCATGTTTATAATCTCTGTGAGAACAGAACTGGAGAGTGCATTGTTATCAAATTATCCCCCAGAATTGCTTATGATAATTTCATAATTTCTATAATTTCTCTAATTTTTGTAATTCGATTTGGAGAGTAATTAATTGAATAATGTATTGATGAATAAAATTGGATAATTGCAGATTGAGGACGAAGGAAATCACGGAAATGACGACACGAGGTGCTTCATACTGTCGACACTTGCTGCACTGCAATGGTCAAGAGTATCGTGTGTGTTGTGCAGAGCGGCGATGCTAGTCTTCGACAGGTATCCACTGGTGGACGGTACCTTTTTTCTGTCGCCGCGCCAGCACTCACACTCCTGCGCTGAGGTACATGAAATTCCCATTAAATCAGCCATCGAGGCTCATGGCCGATAACATTAACGCTACTTACCTTATGTTGTAGGTGAAGGTCGAAGGTCGCACGCAATTTTTATCGGCAGTGTGCATGAGCTGCTTGGAGGGCAGTGGATCGTCCCCAGTGCGATGCCGCACCTGCACCCAACCGTGGGATGGATCGAGTCTTGTCTTGGGGACGATGTACAGTTATGATATTTTTGCTGCCATGCCGTGCTGCACTGAACGTCTGAAGGTAAGTCATTAGTAGAGAGGTCAGGGAGTCCTATTGATCGTTGGGTTAATGATAAAATTATTGAGGGAAGACATTCCAACAGAACGCCGACATCAATTTTCAACAAAATTTTTCAAAGAAATTTATTTTCAAAATAATAATAATAATAAATTATTGATTATTTCATTATTAATATCTTAGAATACAAGAGAAATAAGGAAATTTGTGGGAATACCTTTTTGTACATCACACTCTACTCGACGAAACAGATTTACCTTAAAATCGCACAATCCCTCTTAAATTCAGAGATATTTCTAATAGTGGTAGATAAATTTAATTTTTAAAAATCCTAAGTCCTCAGGCCTAAAAACGTCGGTGGACTACCCTACTCGTAAATACAAAGCACTATTGAACTTAATATTTAAGAATTTTCATGTCCCAAATTTGATTTTTCTATATCTCAATTCAAATAGCACTCAGAACTTAAAAAATTTCAAGTATTAAAAAAAATTAGGATCCATTATTCAGAGATTGAATTGTCATCAGTTGGAATGAGTGAGATTGAAAAATTATTGATCAAATTTTATAAAAATTTCTAAATATATGTTTCTTATACGCACGGAAAATTAAAATACGATTATAAATCTGAAAGTTTAATATTTCATAATTTACAAATCTTAAGTACAGAAGGACTTGAAACTTGTAAATTATTCAAGTCCCAAATGTTCCTGAAATAAAAATGGTGATTTGAAGATGTTTCGAGTGTTAAAGTACTAATTCTATTTGGACTTTCAGGCCCTTTAAGGGGCCTTAAAGAGAGTTAGTAGTACCCATCACTGATTCCTAGAGAACTTGACTACACTGCAAAAAAACATTAATTAAATACATACGTTCTTGATTAAATTTTTCTAAAACATGTTCATTGGCAACCAAACTGATTTTTGCACCGATATCTTCAGGAAATTTCAAATTCATGGCACTCATGACATGACACTCACCCAATCGATTGTATATTTGAAACAATCGCACGCGTACTATACGATTCGAGTAATTTCGGACTTGAACAAGGAATGAAAGGTTTAAATTTCGATCAATCGTGTAAATAGTTGGTCAATGCTTTTCCTTCTCAGTAAAAGGAACGAGTAGATTTCATGTCTTTCCTGATGATTTGTTGCTGTACATATGAATTTTCCGAGAGTCTCGTAATTCTATAAAATTGCAATGTTTCTAGAGCCTGACCAAATGGATTTTTTGTGTTTCAGTGCAACAGCTGCCAGAAACCGCTGATCCACCCCCACCAGCGATTGAACTTTTACTCTGACTACAGTCGTGTTTTTGCGTGTCCCCATTGTCGCACTGTTGATGCACATTTCGTAAAACCACTGTCAGCATGCTTCACACGTGAACAATTTCAATTGTACAGCCAGTGGCCGTAACCACTAGAGAAGCTAGGTGGTTGCCGGTGTAATAGAATCAACGAAATCAATGACGATGATGAATGTTTTATCAAATTAGCTGAAATTCTAGCACCCGGATTATTATCTATCGATAAAAGTCACATAACGCCCAGTTGCAGTCGATACGAGCGTACGAGTCAGATAGCTCGGCGTTAATTATCGATTACTTTCATTTCACCATTCTAATGGACACCAGAGACGATGGAGTTGGGCTTGGGATGGAATACGTGGTCTCTGGGGATTTATTCGGGGTCAATTATCCCTCGGTGAGGGGGACAAAGTGCTCCAGGAAGCCTCAGAAATTCTGCCTGTATTCCCTCGGATTATATCGACTGCAATACCATCTCGTTTTTTCATCATCACAATTCGAAAAAATTGCTTACACTTACACAGAGAATAAATAATCCTTCTTTTAAGAGGAAGGATAAATGTTCCTTTTTTTTTGCCTGTGTAAGAAGTGAATTTGGCATCAGTTAATGGAAAAAGCTCTGAACAAAAAGATTCGGAAGAAAAATTTTCGAAAAGCGGCACTTTAATTTTCTTTGCCGCATATATAACAATATAAAAACTTTAAAACTAAAAATGAAAGTGTTCTTGATTCAATGTTCAATGAAATCCTTGAATCACGGACACATTTCCTTGGAAATATGTGAATTTTGCTTGAACCTAGTGTAGAAATGAATAGTAATGTCTTGACTGGTGTCTGTCAAGAAAATGTCAAAAGTTCTCTCTTACTACAAGAGAAAAGTAATTGAAAATAATAAAAAAAGTCACTTGTTTCGAAGATTTCTGACCTTTGGATTTTAAAACCACTTGATTTTTTCCCTTGAAAGAAGAATTATCATTTTCTGTGCTCACGAGTCGGACTAAAATCATAACTCATCACTTTTTATATACCCAGGACCCGAGTAGAGATACACCCCAAACCGACTTATCGTCAATTATTCTCCTCTGAAACATCTGAATCCACTAGAATGATGAAATTTTAATGAAACAAGCACACGCCCCTTTACATGTATTAGTCCAATTACGCATATTGATTGAAAACCTGAAAATAGTGTAAGTAAAAAAAAACAAAAAGGCAGAAAAAACTATTGAGAAACAACTTAATTTACATTTGTATTGAAAAAAAGAAAATAATGAAACACTTTTGTTAGGGGGAAAGAAATACTATTGTTTGTTATTTAGATAATCGATAAACATTGTTTTCTTTTTTAACATTTTATTAGTTTAATGGTAATGAAGGATTGAAAATAATATTGTCTAGGCGGCCATGTTGTTTTGTTTGAGGTTGCGACAGTTTGTCGTAGGTTTTTGTCCCGAAAAAAATTGACATTTTCTTCGTTTTCTTTCCAATTTATATGGATTTTCCTCGCCAATTGGCGTGCTTCGAGAGCCATTGGAGAAGGGAAAATAAAAATATTCCGCTTTTTTCCCTCTCGTTTCAATAGAGCTGTGAAACTCAATGCCCCTCGGAACAGCGCGGAGAGGAGGAAAATAAACACCCAAGCATATGCAATACGTGGTATACATATGTAGAAATGGAGAGTACTCGAGTATCTCAAGAATTCACGCGTTTCTTTTCTTCTTTTTTTTTACTTCGCTCTTTCGTTCCTTTCGTTCACCTTTTTTTTTTCTAGCGATGCTGGTCGTTGCTGCATACCCAATAGCGGCCGTCCCGCTGAGTACTAAAGTTAATGACCGTATGTGCGTGGTTTTTATTCACACCCGGCTCCCAGATAGGATTTTTCGTTCGCCTATGTTTTCATTCGCCTAAGTTTCCATTTTGGAGAGAGAGGGAATTATCGGTAAGGAGAACGAGTTACGTTTGAGAGAAATATCTGTGAACTTAAGGAAAGTAGCGGAATTCTTGTAATAACCTTTTTTTTTCTAGCTTTCCATTAGTTCTGAAAAGAAAAGATTATTATGAAAATGTATATATCAGTCCTAAATTGCGATTAGTTTATCTCTGCGCTGCTGAATTGTATTGAGACCGAGTGATTCTATACAAACATGACGTAGGAATTAATCATTAAAAATTCACATTAGTATTTCTCCAAAACCTCTTATGTCCGAGATAATCGCAGTTTCGGAAAGTCAACGAAAAACGTAACGTTTCTTTCTCTTGGAAAAATATTTACAAATGTATACAATAGGCCCCAATTTTATATTGCAAAGTATATATTTCTAATAGTGTATTTTCTCTCTCTCCTTTCGCCCCAGAAAATAGTCAAGTAATTTTTGCCGCATCACTGAATTATTAATTTTCTCACAGTGCCAAATACCCTAGATTTTTTCTTCTGATTAATTTGTTAATAATCACCCCCTTGCATTAACATTCGCCTCATTTTGCGGCGTAGCTGTCGCGACAATATTCCTAACAATATGTTAATTAGAAAATGGAAAAGAATTAAAGACGCGGTAATCGAGACTGATAAATACTCCCTACCCGTTTTCAATTTACCCACCAAAACACTTAAGTGTTTCGCATAGATTTCGAGACTCAAATTTGTATAAAAAAAAAATATAAATTCCAGTTAAAATTAGTCGACCCAATCGTCGCCCCTTCGTTCTCTTATACTTCATTTGAAATTAATATATTGATATACCCAATATTTAGAAAAAAATCTGAGTTTGTCGTTTTTGTATTCTAAGGATAAACTAATATTCTAGCGTAACATAATGAGCTAATCGTGTATAGAGGACGTTTACGTAAACGTTAAGATTTTTTCTAGGCAGGGATCCATTTAACTTTAAGAAACCACAACTGGGTACTCGGTCGTACTATTACAGTAATTGATGCGATAAAAAAAATCAATTATTAAAAAAAAATACATCTTTCATTCTAACGTATCGGTTTCGTCATTTTAATGTCCGTCATGCTTCGGATGGTAACGTAATACGAAATTTATTTAAATATACGTACAATGAAGTCCTTCCAATTTGGAGGGATAAATATTCATCGCAGTATATTTTTCACTATTTACGCCACAATTTCTTCGATGAACCCTTTTACCGGTTCCTTGTAGATTTAGTCCAGTTAATCAATGACTGACAAATTGGAATAAATTTAATCTGCGCATATATTACCAAAAATATAAGTCATGATGAGTGAAATTTCCCAGTTTTGATAAATACTGATCTATCGGAAAACCCATTGATCTTAGAAAAAAAAGAGGAAAAAAATCTTTTCTTGTGGTAAATTTGATGAATTTTTTGAGGGTTTCTCCCTGAAATCGAGGGTTCTCGAGGCAAAACGATTTGATGTATAGAATGCATCAAAATAATTGGAAGGACTCCACTGTAAACTCACGTTTATATACGATAAATAGCATGCGGATACCGACGAAATGGGCGAGAGGAAAAAGTCTGTTCGAAAACGAAGAGCGTAGTAGCGGGGCTAAATAATCCAAAAGAGCCAGCACGTAAAAAATCGTGACAAAAATTTAGCCGTCCGATCTCTACTGACGTTTTTAGCGGATGCTGAAATAGAGTGTGTGTGAGAGAGCGTGAGCCTCGCTGTCGCGATAATCTACTCCCTCGAATCGATTTTTCATCGATAACAACGATGTAAAATACGCGAAGGAACGATAACCACGCCGGCGATTCTCTTCCTAAATAACTAAATGATGATTCAAATAAAAGAGTAACAATTTACCGTATATTGCTAGATAAAATATAGGGAATAGTCCTGTAACCGAGGGTGAACGTATATTTCTAGATCATAAGTTTTAACGATTAAAAGAAAACTATCTAGAATTAACGGAATCCCCTTTTTTACTCCGATCACCAATAAGATTTTTGTACCTTTGCTATAACTCATATTATATTATACATATATAGATTATATCGACGCGTGATGTAGGAAATTTTAATGCACATGAGAGAATTTAGAGATTATCCACTAAAATAATTCAATTGAGCTCAATCTCCATTTTATTTTACGTCGGCCTATGTCACACTTATCGAAATAATTGCTGAATTTTCCAGAAAATTACATCTAATTCGATTAACAAGTACGAAATTGTAATGTTTTCCTAGAGATCAAAGGCGGAGAACCATCTTATAGTAGAATTTATCCTGAGAAAAAAAATTATAGACGAAAATAATTTTTTCTTTCATGATACAATTGCCTTGAAATTTACAATTCTCAGAATGAGACTCTGGTATTTCATTACAACAGCCAATTCCTAACATCTCAAACCGAAAATTTGGAAAATTCACTAAAACGTTATTTGGACTTTAGTGCATAATCTGTTGTCCATGTGCATTAACAATTTTTCTCGAGACTTGAATGGAGTGCACATGAGGAAAATGAGAAAACGATGAAAAAAAAAGGTTTTGTATCGATGTTTTCTAGAGAAAAAGATTTATGGGTACGATATTCGCCGGCCGGTACCCCCTTCCTCCCAAATTCCCTCAAGATGACCCGACCCATGGCCTGACCTCTCTAAGTACATAAATTGAAGATCAAGAGTAATAAAATGTCCGTGAAATAACTATCGCCGACAATTTGAAGGAATTTATTTGCAGTTGTAGAATGATCAAAGAATTCGATGAATGGGTCTAGGTGATCATCTGGTTTGTGGAAAAAAAAATAGAAAAGAAATGGTTATGAGTAGTTGATATATTGAATAGAGTTTAAAATTATTCATTAACGATGAGAAAAAAATTCTAGGTTTTTTAATCTTACCAAGAATGATATGCATTTATTCAACAAAAGTAAAAATGTTTTTATCCGGGTGTCTGGCAACACGTCAAATATTCTAGTTAATTTTTCTTCCTTGTTTTTTAATGATCCCTCATATATATCGGGCTGATGGCTTTTGGATAACAATAAAAACAGAGTGACCGCGTTCTTTTTTAACGAATTACGAAAAATGTAATGGCAGATAATCTCAGGTGAATAGGATTTGTGGTGTTTTTTCATGACTGAAGTCGAATTGCTCGGATAGAGTTGTATTTGTAATTGAAATGGCTGTACCGGCAATAGAGCGTCACAATTATAATTATAATAATATACCGCAAACGCCGCATCCAACGTTTGCCAATTTCTTACGGTTTTTTCGTAATGATAACTCTAGATTTTAATGGATAAATTGAGATAAAATAGAAACATAGGATTTAAGGAATTTTTCAGCTGTGGTAGACAACTATAGGAGTTTAATCCGAGACTCGGCAAACATGATGAAACGTATACATATAATTGAATAAATTAGGTAGGTTTTTATCGATGAAGGGAGATATAAATAATCAGTAAATTAACGATTTGGTAAGCCACGAGACGAGTGAGACACGAATCATTCGACTATTCTTCGTCCCTACGATATAATCAATCACCGGCTCATTGATCGTCGAAGAAAAATCGATAATGCTGTAGAACTAATCACAGTAGCATCCACGTCTCGTGGATATCATTGGCTGTAGTCCCTAGGGTTTAAACAAAATTCAACTTCATTATTTCTCCTATCACCGTGCACGTGGCTGATACCAGGCACGAATTACGCTCATTCAATTAAGTTTTCACAGATTTAGCGGAGGAAATTCACTCCTGTTTTCCATTCAGTGGCGAAGTGAGATTATTCGAATTTTCATTGTTAACTATCAGTGGATCTCCGAAACCATTGATTTTCGAGAGAAATCCCAAAAGAACTTTTCTGTGGAAAATCTAATCTGCTACTAAAAACTCTTGTGACGCTTCCACCTGGGATTGATAGTTTTCGAGATGTATCGATAATTGTGAAAAATTTGGGAATTTCATCTGTCTCACTTGATCACTTCGCTTCTGAATTCATTGGAGGATTAATCGATATGATTGAGATGATGAGAGCAATGAAATCGAGATAAACTTCCATTTGCATTTGATAAGAATCCTGATAGACGAACAAGTGAGTGGAAAAGAAAATGTTTGATGAATTCCCGTAGTGAAAACCGAGAAATCTCTAATTATCACACAAAACGGATTTTAATTACCCCATAATTTCAATCCATCAAGCAGTCACATTGGAACAGTGGCGAAGGTACAAATGTACATAATAAAATAGTGTTGTTATAAAGTATATCGCAACCTCTCATTTATCACAGGAAAAAATATAAAAGACGCCGCGAGCAAAAAACTCAAATGATCAGGTTGCTCTGTAGCTCAGGATAGCGTCGGATCGATG